TGATTCCTAAATGGATTACAGAGCAGAAAAAAAGTGAAGCGGTGCTAGAATAAGAGCTGTGTCCTTTCCCACGGCCACAGCATGCCAGCTGCCTGTTTTAAGTCTGGAGGAAGACCACAGACAACCCTTGCCTGGAACCCCTGCAGCAGCGCAAGCCTTGCCTATTCCTCCCCTGAAGTGGGGAGCTGGCTGTCTAGTGTCATCGTGTGGTAACTATAGGGAAGAGCAGCAGTGGGCCTCCAGCAAGCCTCCTTTTGGGACTTAGCCCTTTCAGATTTCCAACATCCAGAGATGAGCATCCCTGCGGCTGAAAAAGCCCATACAGTCTGGTAAAGGCGTGTTTCGTGATGATGAACTAGGTACACTGGAGCTTAAACCAGTTGTGCCCTAGAGTTTCTGAAGCTTCATATCCAGCATAGGTGCAAAGAAGTGTTCACATCAGTGTGGACAAAACCCTCTTTGTCTTGTTAACATTTTCTCCTTTCAAATATTTTCCTGAAATTATGGTTGTGAGCTGAGATTTTGCCTGGATAATGAGGTTTGTTTTGAGAAGAGTGAGAGATAATTCAATCCTCCCTTCCACCCCCACCTAAAAGGCTGCCAGAAAGGCAGTCACACCTAGATCTTGGGAGCTTGAATCCTCCCCGAAATTCTAATCTTAGGCCTGAGAGTCCATTAAAGAAAAAATGTAAACTGCATATCATTAAACATAGAAACCCAAGGTCAACTTTGGAAGTAGAACTCTTGTGTTTGCAGTGGCAGTGCTGGCTGAGGCCAGTGAGAGAACCCTTCTCAAACTGGAGTCTGGCTTGTGACTACAGGTGCAGTGACATTTAATATTGCTGATATTTTCCTTGTGTGAAGTCCTCTTTTTGCCTCCAAACTTGGGTCTTCATTAACAGTGCTTGGTGAAGCCCTATGCCATAAACTGTGCCCTCTGGGGACTATGGTGTCCAGAGAACCTGCCTCCTCACAAAAGAGGTGATGACACCAAATCCCCAGTTGCCGACAGCCAGCTATGTGAGAAGATAGGACTTCCACTTCTTACACCAACACACCAGAGCTGAGTGGCACTTCAAAGGGTTAGAATATGCTGAGCTTGTTTTTAGAGTCTAGCAGGAACAGGTGGGTAATCTTTGTATTTGGCTGCTCTGTCCTTGCATGGCAAAAGTCCAAGAAACTAGACCAGCAGGAGCAGGTGCAGGGAGGAGCCACATATGGCTGAACAACCATGGTTGCCAAGGCCATAGTAGTGAAGGCAGTCAGGGTGATGGAGGTAGAGCTGCGACCACCAGTTCTGACATGATTCACAAAGGCAGGGGGGCTCAACCACTGAGTATTGGAGTGTTCCCAACACACTTCTACCCCATAGGCAGCTCCTGGCCCTCTCTGAGGAGTCCTCATATTTCCAGCTGTAAATTGGAGACACTAGCAGTACCTGCTTGCTAGGGTTATCTGAGGATTAGGTGAGATTAGGGAGTGCAAGACACTGCTGAGTGTCTGGCAGCAGTCCTCCTCTATCCCATCCATGCTTGCAAATCTCTGAGACTCACGATTTGCATTTTAGCGTTTGCTATTGCATTATTTTATGCAAGTAACACATGTGTGGTCTGAAGACCAAACACAGTGTGGTTCAAACACAAAGACTTTCCATTGTCTGGGGACATGCTCAGGGACCCTTGCTCAGGGCCAAACAGTGGCAGAAGCACTGGGAGGCTGGCTGACAGGTCTTTCTCCATCTCCTCCCAAACTGCACCACTGCTACAAGGAAATAAGGAATCACTCTCCATCATGTTGTGAATGTTGCTGAACAACTTGACTTATTTGAAAAGCTCACAGTAGGGGGCTTTCTGACAGGGAGCACCATGGGGCCAAGGACGCTCACCTCCTATCAGTCAGGCTTTGGCAGGAATCATCAGGAACTGCTCCAGGGGCCAGGAGAATTTCAGGAGGGGACAACTCACAAAGGTGAGGTGGGGTGAAGGGATATAGAGTACAATGGGCCTTTCTTAGTACCTGCTGTCAGAGGGCAGGAGGTAACTGCAACTGTGGAAGAGGGGTTGCCTGAGGGGTGTAGACTCTGCTGGTCCTAGGGAACCCCACAGGATGCCCACTCCCTCTGACATTCAGCTGGCACCTCCCACCAGCTAGACCCAGTAGAAAGCCCGACCTAGAGTCCTAGTGATGGGAGCTAGGGCAGGTAAAGGTGTGGGGGTGTCTGTGGAGTGAACTATTGGTGTCTATTTGTGAGAAAGGACTCAAGTTTTCCCATCATAAGTTGAAAATATTGTAATTCACAAATGTGTTAAATACACCTAACCTACCAAACATCATAGCTTAGTCTACTCTATCTTAAACATGTTTGGAACACTTATATTAGCTTACATTTGGGCACATTTAAGGTACGCTAGACTAAGCTACTTTAGACAAAATGATGGCTTCGGTGCTGAAAGAGCCCAGAACTATGGTATATATGTTAAATAGTTTAAATTAAAAAAGTGAATGTTATGTGTGAACATATAAAAAACAAATAATCCATTTAGTGGATTTAACAGTAGGTTGGACACAACAGAGTAAAAAATAAGTGAAGCTAAGTACAAGTTTATCCAAACTGAATTACAATGATTCGAACAGAAGAGATGGAAAAATACTGCAAGTCTGAGATCTGTAGGACAACAAAAAGTCTAAAGCACATGTAATTGGAATTTCAGAGAGGAAAGAGAATGGATAGAAGAAATATTTGAGAAGGCAATGGCTGAGAATTTTTCCAAAATTGGTGTAAGATATCAACCTACAAATATAAGTTTAGCGAAGCTGAAGCACGATAAGTACAAAGAAAAACATATGGTCAAAAAAAAGCCAAACTGCTGAAAACAGTTCAGCAGTTCGAGAGAAAGTAAATTCAAGAGAAAGTAAAAATCTTGGAAGCAATCAAAGAAAGAAAAAAAGAGTACATTCAGTACAGGAGGAACCAATGAAAGTGACAGTTGAGGTCTCATCACTAACAATGGAAACAAGTAGTGGAAATTTCTTTTTTTTTAAATATATTTTATTAATTAAGCCATTACAGTTGTTCTATTTCCCCCTTTATTCCCCTCCACCCTGCACGACCCCACCCCCGCCGTTCCCCCCTTTTAGTTTATGACCATGTGTCTCAAGTTCTTTAGATTCTATATTTCCCATACTATTCTTGCCCTCCCCCTATCTATTTTCTACCTACCATCTATGCTACTTATTCTCTGTACCTTCTCACCCCTTCTCCTCCTCCCACTCCCCTGTTGCTAACCCTCCATGTGATCTTCATTTCTATGGTTTGGCTCCTGATTTAGCTGTCTTCTTAGTTTGCTTTTGTTTTAGGTGTGGTTCTTAGTAACTGTGAGTTTGTTGTCCTCTCACTGTTCATCTTTTTTATCTTCTTTTTCTTAGGTAAGTCCCTTTAACATTTCATATAATAAGGGCTTGGTGATGATGAACTCCTTGAATTTGATCTTATCTGAGAAGCACTTTATCTGTCCTTCCATTCTAAATGAAAGCTTTGCTGGATAGAGTAAGCTTGGATGTAGGTCTTCAGATTTCATGACTTGGAATACCTCTTTCCAGCCCCTTCTTGCCTGTAGGGTCTCTTTTGAGAAATCTGCTGACAGTCTGATGGGAACTTCTTTGTAGGTGACTGTCCCCTTATCTCTTGCTGCTTCTAGGATTCTCTCCTTCATTTTAATTTTGGCTAATGTAATTATGATGTGCCTTGGTGTGTTCCTTCTTGGGTCCAAATTCTTTGGGACTTCCTGAGCTTCCTGGATTTCCTGGAAGTCTATTGCCTTTGCCAGATTTGGGAAGTTCTCCTTTATTATATGTTCAAATAAGTTTTTCACTCTTGGCTGTTCCTCTTCCCCTTCTGGTACCCCTATAATTCAGATGTTGGAGCATTTCAAGATGTCCTGAAGGTTCCTAAGCCTCTCCTCATTTTTTAAAATTAATTTTATTTTATTTTTCAAGTACAGTTTTTTGTCTATTTCTCCCATGCCAGCCTCCCCGCCCCTGCTCCCCACCTCCCTCCCATTTCGACCCCCCTTAGTTCTCGTCCCTGTGTCCTTCCTATTTGTTCCTCCAAATCCCTCCCCCTTATTCAACTTAACTTCCCTTCCTTCTCCCCTCTGGTCACTGTCCCCTTGTTCTCTATTTCAGTGTCTTTCGGTTTTTTTTTTTTTCCTGCTTGCTTGTTCGTTTTGTTGTTTAGCTTCCTGTTAAAGGTGAGATCATATGGTGTTTGTCTCTCAGCACCTGGCCTATTTCACTCAGCATAATGCTTTCCACTTCCATCCATGTTGTTGCAAAAGGTAGTAGCTCCTTCTTTCTCTCTGCTGCATAGAATTCCATTGTGTATATGTACCACATTTTTTAACCATTCATTTACTGATGGGCACCTAGGTTGCTTCCAACTCTTGGCTATTGTAAATTGTGCTGCTATGAACACTGTGGTGCATAGGTTCTTTGAAATTGATGTTTTAGGGTTCTTAGGATATAATCCCAGCAGTGGAATTGCTGGGTCAAAAGGCAGGTCGATTTTTATTTTTCTGAGAAAATTCCATACTGTTCTCCATAATGGTTGTACCAGTCTGCAATCCCACCAACAGTGGACTAAGGACCCCTTTTCCCCACAACCTCTCCAACATTGGTTGTTTGTTGCTTTGTTTATGATAGCCATCCTAACTGGTGTAAAGTGGTATCTCATTGTGGTTTTAATTTGCATCTCTCTGATAGCTAACGATATTGAGCATCTCTTCACGTGTCTCTGAATGTTCTGTGTGTCCTCCTTGGAGAAGTGTTTGTTCAAGTCCTTTTCCCATTTTTTAATTGGGTTGGGTGTCTTCTTAGAGTGGAGTCATGTAAGTTCTTTGTATATTTTGGAGATTAAACTTTTGTCTGAGGTATCATTGGCAAATATGTTTTCCCATACATTTGGTTGTCTTTTTAACTTAATACTGTTTTCTTTAGCCACACAGAAGCTTTTTATTTTGATGAGATCCCATTTGTTTATTCTTTCCTTTATATTCCTTGCTCTAGGGGACATATCAGTAAAAAAGTTGCTGTGTGAAATATCTGACATTTTCTTGCCGATGTTTTTCTCTAGGACTTTAATGGTGTCATGGCTTATATTTAAGTCTTTTATCCACCTTGAATTTATTTTGGTATATGGTATAAGTTTGTGCTCAAGTTTCATTTTTTTGCACATAGCTGTCCAGTTCCCCCAACACCATTTGTTGAAGAGGCTATCTTTACTCCATTTTATGTTACTGCCCCCTTTGTCAAATATTAATTGACTGTAGAGAGTTGGGTTGATTTCTGGCTCTCTGTTCTGTTCCATTGGTCTATGTGCCTGTTTTTATGCCAGTACCCGGCTGTTTTGATTACAGTGGCCTTGTAATACAGTTTGGTATCAGGTATTGTGATCCCTCCTACTTTTTTCTTCTTTCTCAAAAGAGCAGCTGCTATTCGGGCTCGTTTATGGTTCCATATAAATTTTCAAAGTGTTTGTTCTGTCTGTGAAATATGCCATTGGTACTTTAATAGGTATTGCATTGAATCTGTATATTGCTCTGGGTAGTATGGAAATTTTGATGATGTTAATTCTTCAAATCCACGAACAAGGTATATGTTTCCATTTGTTTGTGTCTTCCTTGATTTCTTTCTTCAGGGCTGTATAGTTTTCTGCATACAGGTTTTTCACCTCCTTAGTTAGGTTTATTCCCAGATATTTTATTTTTCTTTTTGCTATATCGAATGGGATTTTTTCCTTGATTCCTGCTTCTGCTGATTCACTGTTGGTATACAAAAATGCCTTTGATTTCTGGATATTGATTTTGTAACCATCTGTTTTGCCAAATTCATTAATTAGTTCAAGCAGTTTTTGGGTAGAGTCTATAGGATTTTCCTTGTACACCATCATGTCATCTGCAAACAGTGACAGTTTTGCTTCCTCCTTTCCTATTTGGATGCCTTTTATTTCCTTTTCTTGCCTGATCGCTGTGGCTAAAACTTCCAATACTATATTGAATGGAAGTGGTGAAAGTGGACATCCTTGTCTTCTTCCTGATCTTAGTGGAAAAGCTTTTAGTTTTTGCCCATTGAGTATGATGTTGGTGGTAGGTCTCTCATATATGGCCTTTATTATTTTGAGAAATGCTCCCTGTATTCCCACTTTGCTGAGTGTTTTATCATAAATGGGTGTTGTACCTTTTCAAAAGCTTTTTCCGCATCTATTGATATGATCATGTGATTTTTGTCTTTGCTTTTGTTTATGTGATGTATTACATTTATTGATTTGTGAATATTGAACCATCCTTGCTTCCCTGGAATGAATCCCACTTGGTCATGGTGTATGATCTTTTTGATATATTGTTGGATGTGATTTGCCAATATTTTGTTGAGGATTTTAGCATCTATGTTCATCAGCGATATTGGCCTGAAGTTTTCTTTCTTTGTTATGTCTTTATCTGGTTTTGGAATTAGGATGATGCTGTCTTCATAAAAAGAATTTGGGAGTTTTCCATCCTTCTGGATTTTTTGGAATAGTCTCTGGAGAATAGGGGTTAGCTCTTCCCTAAATGCTTTGTAGAATTCTCCTGTGAAACCATTTGGTCCAGGGCTTTTGTGTGATGGGAGTTTTTTGATTACTGCTTCAATTTCTTTTGCTGTTATTAGTGTATTTAGATTTTCTGCTTCTTTTTCACTGAGTTTTGGAGGATTATATTTTTCTATAAATGTGTCCATTTCCCCTAGGTTTTCAAATTTCTTGGCATACAGTTCTTCATAGTAATTTCTTACAATCCCTTCTATTTCTGTGGTATCAGTTGTAATCTCTCCTCTTTCATTTCTGATTGTGTTTATTTGTGTCCTCTTCTTCTCTTGATGAGCCTACTTAAAGGCTTGTCTATTTTGTTTATCTTCTCAAAGAACCAACTCCTGGATTCATTGATTTTTTAATAAAATTCTTCTTTGTTCTCTTTTTATTTAAGTTTGGGACATTTCTATTAGCCCATCCTCAGTCTCACTAATTCTTTCCTTGGCCATGTGCGCTATACTGGTGATTCCATCAAAGGCATTCCTTATTCCTTTTTTTTAGTGATTTATCTACTTTGGGGCGGGGGAAGAAGGGGAAACATCCTGTGATTGCCTCTCACATGCCTCCTACTGGGGACCTGGATGGCAACCCAGGCATGTGCCCTAGACAGGGAATCAACCTGGTGACCTTTTGTTTCACAGGCTGACCCTCAATCCAACCAGCCAGGGCTCTTATTCCAGTTATTTCTAACATTTCCTTCTGTTTCTTAAGAGTTTTCGTTTCTCTTATTGTACCCATCTTTCTTGTATGTTTCCCACTTTTTCCATTAGAGCCCTTAGCATATTAATCATAGTTGATTTAAATTCCTGGTAATTTCAATCTCTCTCCCATATGAATCGGATTTTGATGCTTGCTGTCTCTTCAAACTTTGTCATCTTTTAATATGCCTTATAATTTTTTTCTGTTGGAAACCAGGCATGATGAATTGAACTTGGGTAAGGTTTCGATATGTAAGCTTATAGTTTCCATCAAATTTATAAAATTCTTCTCTAAATATTTTCTGCTTCTTGTCTCCTTTGCCTTTCTGGGACTCTTAATGATAAATTTAAATTATTTGACAATGTTACGGAATTCATGTAACCTAAATTCATTTATTACTTTTCTATCTCTTTTCTGTCCTTACTTTATATTGTTTCTATCATGTCTTTAATTAACTACATTTTTCTTCTATAGTGTCTAATCTATTGATCACATTCAATTAAATATTTTTTTGAATATAGTGAAGGAACAGTTGATTAAGTAGGTCTATTTTGCTCACTTTTATTTTGCTCACTACATACCTCTGTAGCCAGGGCAGTGATCCCTGGCTAAGCCGTGGGAAATAAATTGATGAAATACAGTTACGGGTTAATTATTATTAGATATGCCTAAACTAGTAGGTCAAGATGCACCAGGATATGTGTTTAAACATGAATGTTTATAATTTACAGTTGGTGTCTGATTTCTGGTCCTCATCACAGCTATGTGACTAGTCCCTTTCAAGAACTCAGAACTCTAAGACATGTGTGAACTTTCCTGGGTGTAGACAGGTGTCTCTGCAGTTCACAGTTGAAAGTACATCTGTACAACTCTTGTAGAGATATGACTTGGAAACCTGAATATGATCTAACACTTGCTTTTGCTTTTTTCCCTGTCCCTGCACTTTACCCTTACTGTAATAAAAACTGGGCATGAGTGTGACTTTGAGTCATATGAGTCCTTCCAGCAAGTCACCAAACTATTTCAGGGATTCCTGAAATGTGTATTGTATTTTTTTTTAAATCCTTAATCTAGGATTTTTCATTGCTCTTAGAGAAAGGGAGAGTGAAAGCAAGAGAATGAGAGTGAGAATCTATTGGCTGTTTTCACACACACCAACTCGGGATTGAACCCACAACCTGGATATGTGCCCTGACCTGGAATTAAACTGGGACTCTTGGGTCTACAGAATGATGCTACAAACAACCAAGCTACTTCTGCAAGGACTGTATTTTTCACCTCTACAAATTATTTTTGGTTCTTTTATTTTCCACTTTATTCATTATGTTCATGTTTCCCTGTAACAACCTTATGTTATTTCATTATGGGCCTATTTCTTATTCACTGTTTTTTCTTAGGGGTCTCACTTTCCTGCTTTTTAGCATGCCTAGTAATTTTTGATTGGGTATTAGACATTAAGGTCTTTACATTTTCAAGTGTTTTGTTGTATTCTTTTAATGGGTGTTGTGCTTACTTTTGTAGGCAGTGACTTCTGGATTATCTTAGTTCCATTAAATTCTACTTTTAAACTTTGTTAGGATGAGTCAATAGTAGACTTGCCTCCTGGGATAGTTCAACTTTGTTGCTAAAGCATGGCTCCTCCTGGGGTCTCTACTTAATATCTCAAGGGGATTATTGAGGACATTCCTCTGCTGGTCAGTTAGAATTTTTTTCCTCACCTAAGTTCTGTGGCAATTGTTCAGTTTTTACTCCATCATTTTTTCCCTGACCTTCTAGACTTTTACTCTGAGGATGTATGGCTTAGAATTCAACAGACTCGGGATCTTGCTATAGATTTCTGGACCTCTTCTCTGCAGAGTTCCCACCACATTTCTCTCCACCACAATAAACTCCAATTTCTATCCCTATTAATCAAGATCACTGGGCTCTGTGTGGATTCTCCCTCGTGTTTGTATACTGAAAATTACTCCCATGCAGAAAGTTCGGGGAAATTGTAGGGAATCACTTCATTTGTTTTCCTTCTCTCAGAAATCACAATTCTGCACTGTCCATTGTTCCATGCCTGAACACGGTTCCACATTTCCTTCAGGTTATAGAGAAATGTTAAGTCTAGTACTTGTTATTCCGGTATGGGTAGAAGCATACGTCTCAAATATTTGATGATGTCTTACAATAAATTCCCACTAGGTCTCTTTGTCACTCCCTTCCTAGACACATGAGATAGTTCTACATTGGGAAATAAAACCACAATTTGAAAAAATTGTACTATTACTCAAAAACCTATAAAGTGTACTAAAGCACATTACACAACAAATTACCAAAACTTGAGCTGTTTTAACACAAACACATTCAGACCTGTATGTTCCAAGAGAAGACTACCATAACAGGAACTCAAGATGGTCTCACATATCCCAAATTCTAAAGACCACTGACACAATTCCAACAACTAGTTTACAAATTCTGACCAATTTCTGCCTAGAGCCACTCACCTACCTCTGCCATATAACCACCCCTTGACTAAACCCTAACCCCTACCCTTAATACTCTAAGGACATTTCTCTAATTCCTATCTGAGAAGAGACTGTCAAGGTATTGTTCTGCCTCACTAAGTCGAATGGTTTCCTAAGCAATCTTTTTTTTTTTAGGATTTTATTTATTTATCTTTAGAAGGAAAGGGAAGGAGAGAGGGAGAGAAACATCAAAGTATGGTTGCCTTTCCTACGTCCCCTGCTGGGAACTGGCCTGCAACCCCGGTATGTGCCCTGACTGGGAATCAAACCGCAATTGTCTGGTTCGCAGGCCTGCGCTCAATCCACTGAGCTATACCAGCCAGGGCCTAAGCAATCTTTCATGAGCATTAATAACCATAGATGCTCCAAGAAAATTCAGCAGGGACCCATCACAGTCAAAGCCCAAGACCACAGACTCTGAAGGTTCTCAACTAAGGATCCTTATGCTTCTCTGCTTATGGTTTCCTTGCCTGCAACTGAAGGAAGTTCAGTGTTTAATCTGAGCTCCAATCCCTTTTTGTTGAAATCCAAAATCTGCAAATGGTTTATTTTATCTGCCCTAGGAAAAAAAGTCAAGACATTTTAAATTAGCTGATGAAATTTGTACTAATTTTAATTCTCTATGAACATATTATCTATTATTGTATAACAAATTATTCCAAAACGTAGCTTGAATTATTAAGTATTTATTTTGTTTCTGATGATCAGAAATCTGAGAGTGGCCTGAGTAGTTCTGGCCCATTCTCTCAAGAGATTGCAGGCAAGCTGCTGGCTAGGAGAAGGCTTACATGGGGAAATATCACTTCTGAGCTCATACACATGGATGCTGACAGACCTGTTTCTTGGTGTTGGCTACAGACTTCAGCTCCTTACCATCTTGGCCTCTCCATGGGTTTCCTGAGAGTCTTCATGATATGGCAGGTGCCTTCTCAGAGAGCAAATGATACAAGAGAGTGCATCAGAGTGACCAAAACTTAAGCTGCAGTCCTTTGATGGCCTAATTTTAGAAGTGAAAAGCCATCACTTCTGCCATATTTTACTGGTCACACAGACCAACCTTGATACATTATAAGAGGGGACTACATGAGGATATGACTACACACAGCTGGAGAATCCAACTTGAGGCCCAACTAAAAGGCTGCCTATTATAGTGAAGTCTGCCAAAGCACCAATTAAATTTTTTTAAAATCCTCACCCAAGGATATGTTTATTGATTTGAAAGAGAGAGAGAGAGAGACAGACAGACAGACAGACACTGGCATGAAATAGAAATACTGATTGGTTGCTTCCCATATATGCCCTGACTGGAGATTAAACTAGCAACCTAGGTATATGCCATGATCAGGGATCAAACCGGCAACCATATGGTGTATGGGATGATGCTCCAACTAACTGAGCAACATGATCACAGCTGCCAAAGCACTGATTTGTCAATAGGTCTCCTGTCTTCTAATGGCTATAATGCTGTGTCTACAGAAGCTTTCCTTAAATAGGGCCCCTACTCATCATCATGGATGCCAAGATACTCTATGCTGATATGCTATACACTGGAAACTTAGTAAATGTATTCAGTTGTAAATCTGTGAAATGGGCAATACTGTCAGCATGAATGAAGAATTAGAAAAGTTAAACAATAAATTTTTTTCATATATTTAGTAAATAACGGGACCAGACATTCACAAGTCTATTATTCTTCAAGGTCTAGAATCTTTCCACAATTCCCTTCTTCTTGTGGATGATTCCTGAGTCTAACCTAGCTCTTTTAGCTTGATCTCACATTAACCCCTTGCTCACCTCACAATACCTGCATATTCCATTTCCCACCATACTGCATGGATTTTGAGATCAGTGGGTTTAGTGTTAGTCCCACAGCTAAAACCCTTTTGTCTCATCTCTACAGCAGTCTTTTGAAATTTGTTGAGCTAGCACATGGCAAACTTCATAAATATTCAATATGTACTTGAAATGAGTATTTATGTTAAAGTCTTCTTCATAAGTTCATTTAACTGACCTTAATTGTGCTATCCAAATCTGTATCTTTACTGATATTTTTTCTTTTATCTAATAAATTGGTTAGGTATATTAAAATCTCTACTATAATGTACAATGTTAATATTTCCCTACTGATCTGTATGCATGTTATGTTATTAGATACATATAAAATTTATCTTCCAGATAAAACAGATCTCTCAAAATTATATAAAGCTCACCTTTATTCCAGGAGAGGAGAAAAAAGAAAAGTGGAGAAAGAGATAAAGTTGGGGCAGGAGTGCAGGGAGTAGGGGAAAGGGAATGAGGGAGCCAGTTAACAGATTTATATCCAAGCCTTTTCTCCCCTTGCTAAGGAAAGATAAGTACCCTTTCCAATGATCTATGACTTGCAGAGTGGTTACAAATCCTTTGGGTGTCCTTAGCTGGGCCTCCCATTGCAAGGGCCTTTTAGATGTTGACAGGTATATAAATTCAAATGGAATATCCTAATATTGCTTGTTCATTTACTGAACTTGGCTATAGTTAGATTGTAGACTGAATCATTTTAGAGTTTTAAATACAGCTCAAATAATAGAGTATTGAAAACATTTTATATTATCTTAAGATCAACATGAAAAAAAATACAAGCATTTCTCTCTGACCTAAGATACTCTGTTCAGTCTAGAGACACTAAGAGGAGAATGACTGACTCCAAGGTAGTTACCATCAGGAAACCAGGAGAGGGTGAAGCATAAGGCAGTAGATAAAAATGTAATCAAAGGAGAAAACAGCTAACTAAACTACATTTAGTGTGTGTAAGTTTCTACTAATGCACCCCAGTCCTCTGCAGCCAGTTACTTCAGGGCATTTCCACAGATACCACTTACCAGAGACCATGTGTGCTTTCCACACTCACACATTGGAAGATCACTATTCTATAGTTTTATAACTGAGAAAATATTTTTATAGGAACAAAGCAAAGAAATTATTTTTTAAAAACCCTAGGAAACAGAAAAGTTAACTTAGATTAGTTATGTGATTAAAAGGTCTTTCAAAGGAAAGCTCTGACTTGGAAGAACATTGGTCTTAGCTCTCTTCATAAGGGGTTCTGAGTAAGACGTCAAGGAAGCAATGTAACTGCCTCTCCCAGGTCAGCTGAGACGGTTGAGTAGATATGCACTGCTGCCTGCCTCCTTGTCTACATTCTCATCTGTGTGCTACGATGAAAGCCCTGCAGTGGGCCCTGTGCATGACAGCAGGTGCCCTGATCACAGACTCATGTGATCTGAGAGCACATGATTCTAGTCATGTGAAAAAACGTGAATTGACAAGGGAGACTAGACAGCAGCAGGTCTAGCCTCAGCAGCCTTTCTGGGAGATGTCTAGTCCTGATGACTTTGTGATTTCCAAAGTGGTAAATACCTGTAAGAAAGGAAGAAAACAAATTTGTGTTTTGGCAACAATTATTTCAGTATTGCTTTAAGAAAACAAATTCTAAATATTACATCTGTTCTCCTTTAAAATATGCAAAATAATTACCAATACAAAAACTTTCTGACAATGTGCTTCATAATAGTTTTTCAAACTACACCAATTGAAGTGAACTTAAAAAATACCTCTCTTTCCTGTATATACCTCACCACAGGTAGGATGAATCCCAATAGTGTCATCAAGTAGCTGCTTCGTGAGCCCACATTTCATTGCAGCTGCAAACCCTTGGGTAACTTCACCAGCATTCGGTCCAAGAAGATGAAATCCTATCACCCGATTCTTTAATACAGAATCAAAACAAAGGGAAGCCCAGTAGGTTAATGGTCTGGATAGGAATCTAGTCATTGCAAGTTCACAGCTCAAATTGACAATATCTACTACAGAAAAAGAACCAACGTTGAACTCAGCAGAGAACATTACCATGAAACTGAGCCATTGTTAAGAATCTGTTAAATGAGTCAATAAATGCACATCCAGAGTAATATGCACTCAAATTTACTGGAAATAAGCAAACTTTACTCACTGCATAAAAGAGCTCATTAGTATGTATGGTAGAAATTTCTGAATTATGTTGAGATAGTGCTAAACAACATACAAATCTGAATTAAAGTCCAACACTGGGATAACTCAAATGCAGCAGGTTTCACTGTCATTGCAGTGATTCCCAACCCAGGAAGCAAGCTGCCTGACTCCTAACAATTAAGTGAAGATCGAGGAGTAGAACATGAGGTGCAAGGTCCATGTGATGAGTAGACCACTGAGACAGAAAGAGATTCATGGCGAATTTCCAAAGTACAATGCATTTAGGCTGTCCTTTTGTCAGTGTATTTTCCATCAGACTCTAGTCTTTGTTTTAATCTTCAATAGTAAGTATACAACAGATAGAGAGAAAGGGAAGCAGAGATCTTGGGGCTGGCAGAAATCTTTGCCTCCTCACATTCTAGAGGAAAAACAATGGTTCAAAGCAGCCAACTCACACACATCTACTCATGGGTGCTCAAAATGGAGAGTTCTGGAAGCAGTGTTTCTCTAAGGGTAATCACGGGCCACAGGGTCTCTGGATGAGAAATGCAGTTCCCAGGGCCCCACAGAAGTAGACTGAATTGGAATCTCTAAGGTGGTACATTGTGCATACAGCAAACTGGGAAAGGCAGGCAGACCAGACAGTAAAAACATGTGATGAAAATCCCCATTTAAAAATGAAAATGAAGGCAGGTTCTGTGAGAGGGTAAACCTCATTCACAGTTTTTACCACATAGCTACAGTAAAATACATAGTAGTAGGGTGGTTCTTTAGAAACAGAAATTTGGACAGGAGTAAAAGAAAGTAATAAGCTCTACTGAGGACAGTGAGCAATTTTACCAAGGGAAACGAGGATCAAGGAGGCAGCTGAGTGTGAGCAGAGGGAGTGGCAAGGGACAGAGATGGGGTTCAAAAAGAAGGTAAATAGACATGAAAATTCCACCTCAGGACTGACAGCCATAGTCAACAACTCTGTCAAGAGGTCAGAAATAATATGAAGGCCGATAATTTTGGTTTCAGCAGCAGCTCAATCAAACCCAATTCCCACACACTTTCACGGGCCTCAGTGCATGCATAGTCTCAGCCTGCTCCCTTTGGGAAGGCACCCACAACTTCATGAGAGTAACCTCAGATTACTCTGTACACTTCATATAAATGTCAGATGTTGCTGTTCATATGTATCTAATCTTATGTTTTATCTCCCCAGATAAATTATAAACTCTTAAAAAGGGAGGAATTAAGTGCTTACACTGCTTCCTACCCTCAGTGTTCTTTATAAAACAAGTCCTGAACAAACAGTGCTTTAAACCCTGATAATCAGGGTACCTGTTAACAGTTTCATGCTCACCTCAACAACAGGGAAGGCAGAGGCCTCCAACAATGGGTTCTCCACCTTACTGATCTTCTTTTATAAAAGGCTTCATTAGGAATTAGTTAATTAACTAGTTTTCACTTTGTGTAAGCATCTCCTTGTAAAGGCTTTTTCACATTCACTTTACAAAATCCACATAAACATACACCTTACATTTTAATAGTTGATGAATAAAAACTTTCACAGGTGATCTACTTCTAAACTGCTGAGTTTGGTAGGTTGGGAAGAGACAATTTTCAATGATTACTTTGAAAAGGTATTGGTAAGCCTCATTTACAATTTATATCACTTGTTCAACCTCTGCAAACATATTAACTGGGCAATAATTTGAAGAATTTATGCCTTCCCTGAAAACTACCTTTAAAGAAATAATGGGAGGGAGGGGGGAGACCGGGCGGGGGGGTGGGGTGGGATGGGAGAAATAGATAAAAAAAAATGTACTTGAAAAGTAACTAAATAAAATTTAATATTAAAAAACAGTTAATATAATTCACTTTATATATAAAAAAAGAAATAATGAAAATCCAAATACTAGAATAAAAGCTGCATTTTAAATTTATAGTATTTCAGCTTCCAATCACATTACATACATTGTTAAATTTATTGCAAATTATCTTTGCATAACAAGTACTGTTGTCTCTGCCAGCTACTGTCCATTCGAGAGGCCAGAAAAAAGTATGATACACCTGGAAGACAAGAAGAAAAAGGGGCCAAGATTGGCATATCAGAAAATCACTCCTTGATATGATCTTTAGTTATATAAACACAATAATCTCTAAAATAGCTTTCAGAAGTTTAAAGTTCTATGATTCCAACTTTATGTATCTGATTGGAGTGTCTGGGCCACATCTCATATAATTCAAGTTGTGCAAGCATGTTGACCTTTGGTTTGCTCTACTGTTAGTACAAAAAAAATCTCCTGTTAACTAAATTTTATATTTATAGAATAATACTGTTCAAGACAATGCACTAGGCTGTGTGGGCTGAAAAGGTAAATAAAGACCTAGATCCTGCCTTTGACAAATTTAAAACCTGACTACAAGATCATTTTCAAACCAAATCTAAGAAAAGCAAAAGAGAAAAAAAACCTTCAACTCCATTAAATGATATTAAGAACATTACCTATGCTACTTGAAAGCCATCACTCCAGCACTCAAGTACATACATAGCTAAGGCTCCTCAATGTGGCTCACTCAAAACACCCTGAGGAAAATATAACATGACCCCCATCCTGCTCAGGGCAGCTACATTTTCCCAGTCCCTCCTAATCTTCCCAAAAAGAAGGCAATGGATTAATGTTTGGTGCCAGCATTAAAAAATGTGTTCTAAACTACATATGGTCCCCAACTTACAATAGTTCAACTTATAATTTTCTGACTTTCTATTTTTATTTTATTTCTTTAATTTTATTTTTTTCAAGTACAGTGTTCTGTCTTTTACCCCATCCCAGCCCACCCCACCCCCAGTGCTCCCAACCTCCCTCCCATTCCCCAACACCTTAGTTTTTGTCCATGTGTCCTTTATACTTCTTCCTGTGAATCCTTCCCCTTTTCCCCTGAAATTATCTCCCCTCTCCTCTCTGGAACCTGTCAGCCTGTTCTGTGTTTCAGTATCTTTGGTCATATTTTGCTTGTTTGTTTTGTTGTTTAGGTTCCTGTTAAAGGTGAGATCATATGGTATTTGTCTTTCACTGTCTGGCTTATTTCACTCAGCATAATGCTTTCCAGTTCCATCCATGATGCTGCAAAGGGTAGGAGCTCCTTCTTTCTTTCTTCTGCACAGAATTCCATTGTGTAAATGTACCACAGTTTTTGGATATATTCATTTACTAATGGGCACCTAGGTTGCTTCTAACTCTTGGCTATTGTAAATGGTGCTGCTATGAACATTGGTGTGCATGGATTCTTTTGGATTGGTGTTTCAGGGTTCTTAGAATATACTACTAACAGTGGAATTGCTGGGTAAAAAGGCATATTCGTTTTTAGTTTTCTTAGAAAATTCCATACTGTTTTCCATAGTGGTTGTACCAGTCTGCAATCCCACCAACAGTGAACTGGGGTCCCCTTTTCCCACAACTTCTCCAACATTTGTTGTTTGGTGCTTTGTTTATGATGGCTATTCTGACCGGTGTAAAGTGGTGTCTCATTGTGGCTTTAATTTGCATCTCTTGGATAGCAATACTGAGCATCTCTTCATGTGTCTCTGGATATTCTGTATGTCTCCTTGGAGAATTGTCTGTTCAAGTCCCTTGCCCACTTTTTAATTGGGTTGGTTGTCTTCTCTGAGTGGAGATGTGTGAGTTCTTTGTATATTTTGGAGATTAAACCTTTCTCTGAGGTATCATTGGCAAATATGTTTTCCCATATAGTTGGTTCTCTTTTTATCTTAATACTGTTTTCTTTAGCCATGCAGAAGCTTTTTATTTTGATGAGATCCCATTTGCTTATTCTTTCCTTTATATTCCTTGCTCTAGGGGACATATCAGTAAAAAAGTTCCTGCGTGAAATATCTGAGATTTTCCTGCCAATGTTCTCCTCTAGAACTTTAATGGTGTCATAGCTTCTATTTAAAGCCTTTTATCCACCTTGAATTTCTCTTGGTGTATGGTGTACGTTGGTGCTCAGGTTTCATTTTTTTGCATGTAGCTGTCCAGTTTGCCCAACACCATTTGTTAAAGAGGCTATTTTTACTCCATTTTATGCTTCTTCCCCTTTTGTCGAATATTAGTTACCCATAGAGACTTGGGTTTATTTCTGAGCTCTCTGTTCTGTTCCATTGGTCCATGTGCCTGTTTTTATGCCAGTAGCAGGCTGTTTTGATTACAGTGGCCTTGTAATACAGGTATTGTGATCCCTCCTACTTTGTTCTTCTTTCTAAAAAATGGCAGCTGCTATATGGGGTCATTTATTAATCCATATAAATTTTTGAAGTGTCTGTTCTATGTCTGTGAAATATGCCATTAGTACTTTAATAGGTATTGCATTGAATCTCTAAATTGCTTTAGGTAGTATGGACATTTTGATGATGTTAATTCTTCCAATTCATGAACATGGTATATGTTTCCATTTCTTTATGTCTTCCTTGATTTCTTTCTTCAATGTTGTGTAGTTTTCTGTATGCAGATCTTTTACCTCCTTGCTTAGGTTTATTCACAGATATTTTATTTTTGTTTTTGCTATATCGAATGGAATTTTTTTCTTGATTTCTGATTCTGCTGTTTCATTGTTGGTATATAAAAATGCCTTTGATTTCTGGATATTGACTTGGTAACCTGCTGTTTTGCCAAATTCATTAATTAGTTCAAGCAGTTTTTGGGTAGAGTCTATAGGATTTTCCATGTACACTATCATGTCATCTGCGAACAGTGACAGTTTTGTTTCCTCCTTTCCTATCTGGATACCTTTTATTTCCTTTTCTTGCCTGATTGCTGTGGCTAAAACTTCCAATACTATATTGAATAGAAGTGGTGAAAGTGGACAACCTTGTCTTGTTCCTGATCTTTAGTGGAAAGAATTTTATTTTTTGCCCATCGAGTATGATGTTGGCTGTAGGTCTCTCATATATGGCCTTTATTATACTGAGGAATGCTCCCTATATTCCCACCTTGCTGAGTGTTTCTATCATAAATGGGTATTGTACCTTATCAAAAGCTTTTCCGCGTCTATTGATATGATCATGTGGTTTTTGTCTTTGCTTTTGTTTATGTGATGTATTACATTTACTGATTTGCGAATATTGAACCACCCTTGCATCCATGGGATGAATCATGCTTGGTCATGGTGTATGATCTTTTTAATGTATTCTTGGATAAGATTCACCAATATTCTGTTGAGGATTTTAGTGTCTATGTTTATCAGCGATACTGACCTGAAGTTTTCTTTCTTTGTTATGTCTTTATCTGATTTTGGAATTAGGATGATGATGGATTCATAAAAAGAGTTTGGGAGTCTTCCATCATTTTGGATTTTTTGAAATAGTCTGTGAAGAATAGGGGTTAGCTCTTCCTTAAATGCTTTGTAGAATTCTCCTGTGAAACCATCTGGTCCAGGGCTTTTGTGTGACTGTAGATTTTTGATTACTGCTTCAATTTCATCTGTTGTTACTGGTTTCTTCAGGCTTTCTGCTGCTTCTTCATTAAGTTTTGGCAGATCATATTTTTCTAGAAATTTGTCCATTTCCCCCGAGGTTTTCAAATTTCTTGGAACACAGTTCTTCATAGTAATTTCCTACAATTCTTTCTATTTCTGTGGTGTCAGTTGTCATCTCTCCTCTTTCATTTCTAATTGTGTGTATTTGGGTCCTCTCTGTTTTTTTCTTGATGAGCCTGCTTAAGGCCTTGTCTATTTTTTATCTTTTCAAAAAACCAGCTCCTGGATTCAATGATTTTTAGAATTGTGCTTATATTCTCTATGTCATTTAATTCTGCTCTGATATTTGTTATTTCCTTCCTTCTACTTGCTCTGGGTTGTCTTTGTTGTTGTTCCTTGAGTTCTTGTAGGTGGAGAGTTAGATTATTTGTTTGAAATGTTTCTATCTTTTTTAGATAGGCCTGTATTGCTATGAACTTCCCTCTCAGGACTGCCTTCGCTGTGTCCCATAAGTTTTGGCTTGTTGTGAGATCATTTTCATTTGTTTCCAGAAACTTTTTGATTTCTTCCCTAATTTCATTCTTGACCCATTCGTTATTTAATAGCATGGCATTCAGTCTCCATGATTTTGGGTGTTTTGGGTTTTTTCCTTTGGGGTTGGTTTCCAATTTCAGTCTCTTGTGGTCAGAGAAAATGTTTGGTATGATTTCCATTTTCTTGAATTTGTTGAGGCTTGTTTTGTGTCCTATCATGTGATCTATCTTTGAAAATCTTCCATGCGCATTTGAAAAGAATGTGTATTTAGCTTCTTTGGGATGAAAGGTTCTATATATATTAGTTAAGCCCATTTCATCTAGGGCATTCTTTAATGCCACAATATCTTTGTTGATAGTTTGGAACACCACTCCATTTTTGACAGTGGGGTGTTAAAATTTCCTACTATAATTGTGTTGCTTGCTGTCAATATCTTTCTGGAAGTCCTCAAAGAGTTTCTTTATATATTTGGGTGCTCCTATGTTGGGTGCATATATATTTACAATGTCAATGTCTTCTTGGTGGATTCTTCCCTTAAGTATTATGAAACAACCTTCTGGGTCTCTTTTTATGGCCCTCTTTTTGAAGTCTATTTTGTCTGATATGAGAATTGCTACCCCAGCTTTTTTTTTCCTTGTCTGTTTGCTTGGAAAATTTGTTTCCAGCCCTTCAATTTTAGTCTGTGATGGTTTTTAGTCCTGAGGTGTATCTCTTGCAGGCATCATATGTGTGGGTCATGCTTTCTTATTTATTCAGCTATTCTATGCCTTTTGATTGGAGCATTTCATCTATTTACATTTAAGGTTATTATTGATAGGTACTTATTCATTGCCAGTTTTGTACCTGTGTTCCTCTCTTTCTTTCTCTCTTCCTTCCTTTCCTAAGAGCAGTCCTTTTAGTATTTCTTGTAGAGCTGGTTTGGTGGAGGCATATCCTTTTAGACTTCTTTTGTCTTGGAAGCTCTTTATTTGGCCTTCTATCTTGATTGAGAGCCTTGCTGTGTAAAGTAGCCTTGGTTGTAGGCCTCTGTTTCTCATTACTTGGAATATTTCTTGGCATCCTCT